GGGCGCAGGGGGCAGGAGGAGGAATTTGGCCCTGCTGAGGAACAGGCTGTACATGGGGGAGAGGAGGAGGACGGAGCCCGTGGTGGAGAGCACTGCTGGTGGGGACCACGGCACCCTGAGGAGGAGCCAGTCCGACAGGACAGAGTACGGCCAGAAGCTGCAAGGTACGCGGGGAGCTCGTGGGGTGCTCTGCTTTTTGGGGTGCTCTGGGCTGGGGGGCTGCCTCGACACCCTCCAGGCTGCGGCCTCCAGATGAAGGGAAGGGCAGTCTCTGCCCCACACACGCGGGGCTGGAGGGAGCGATCGCCCCCTCACCCTCCGCTTCCAGGGTGTGAAGGGTTTCCCCTGGTTTTTCTAAATAATTAGACGTAGGGATGCAATTGAAGGGTTTGGCATGTTCCTGCAAAAATGCAGCTGGGATCTTTCTGATTCAATCCCAGAACACCTTTGGAGTGCAAGCAGGGATGTGAAAACACCATGGCTCCATCCCAGCTGCCTCTGGCGGTCGTACCACGCTGGGTGTTTGCTAACTAGTCAGAAGCAGCAAGGGCAGTTTCCTCTTTCGGTTAAAAATACCAGGGTCTACGATGTGTCTGTTGCTCAGAAGGCTGAACTGAAGTACCTCCAAATACATCTTTTGATGGTGATTCAAATTATACCATTACGGAGAGTGTTTCTTTTCAAATCAGCAATTTGCATCTGGGCCAGAAATGGGCAAATTGTGTCAGTGTTGGGCCTGTCAATCAGAAATTAAATGCAATGCCACAAATGGGAGAGAAGCATGAGGAATGTCTGTGGCTATTTCTGGGAGTGCTCTGGAACTTAAGAATTTCTGTGGGTTTCCAGGGTCTTGGAACAACAGGGTCTCATCACTAACGCGGGGTTTGAGTATTATTGTAATATACACCTGTATTACTAACAGTGCTGTAACTGCCTAGTGACAGTCACTCTTGTGGCAATGATTCTTTATGGGGAAATAAAATAGGAAAATACCTTGGGTTGCTGTTTTATGGTTTTGATGCACTTAATTAGGGAGTAGCATTTCTTCAGAGAGACAATAAAAGCAGAGAATAAAATAATAAACCTGAAAATAATAGGATTTCTACGGGGGCTGCGTACACTGAAAACAACAGCGCGGTTCATCGATTACGCTGTTCCCTCCTCATGATAGCTAATCAATGCGGAGATGAAAAATCGTCAGTTAGGTCAGGCGCGTGCTGCAGGGACCTGGCGGCGTGTTTCAGGGTACAAGCACGGATCGCTACAGCTGGGCAGGCAAGCTCCTGGGACACGTCCCACCTGAACAGCAGGTTTTTACCTGTGGAGGGGGTTGCCTGGGTGAGGTCGAGGTTATCAGAGTGGTATCGAGAAAAAAGTATGTATCTCTCTGTCCCATGTCAGGTGTATTCATGCTATGAACATCTTCTGTTTGAAATCTGGAACGAAGGGGGCGGGAAGCCTGGGCAGTCGTGGCAGAGGATGAGGTGATGTTTATGGCAACAGGCCAAGGAGACGGTAAATCCAGCTCTACAGCTCCTGACACCAGCTGAGCCTGCCGTGGCCACCTATTGCAGAGCGCTGGCCTGGTACGGGCTCACCCTGCTTGCTCGCGGTCGTTCAAGCAAAACGGGGATGGGTTAACGGGGCACCTGCTGCCTTTAGATGGGATTGGAAGTTGCCTGTCCTCAGAGAGAAAATATAAAGTTGTAGAAATTGCTATGAAGTGGTTTTACAGTCTCAAGAGAAAGAAAAGGTTGTGTGCCAAGGTCTGGTCCAGATCAAATTTTGGTGAGCTGGATGTGCCTGGATCTGATAATGACCACAGGCCTTGTGTGTTACCTGCCAGTGCTGGCGATGTGCTATGAATGTACACCCTTCTGTTCCTCATTTTTCTCACTAGTGCTTACTCCAGGGTGAGGGAAGTGGTTTGGTTGGCACAGAGCTCGTGACTTCTCCGTTCTTGGTAAGAAACCCAACAGACCTGTTGGTGACGTAAACGCTCCGTGGTGCATCACCAGGTCAGGACTCTCCGATCACCCTAGAACAGTAAATGCTTTGCCAAAAGACACAAACGATAATAATTTGTATTTGATTCTCATAGGAATTGGAAGAAAAGCTCTGTGGTTGGTTGCCCCTTCCTTCTATAGTCCCCTTTTTCCAACAGACAGTCTGCAGAACTGTGGTTGGTATTAGCACGGACAAGGGTGTGTAAGGCAGGAGCAGACCCTGCAGAAGGGAATCCCCTGTCAGTGGGGCTGGGGAGCCAAGAGCCAGAGCACCCTCACGTCTGCTGGTGGCAGGCAATCTAGGCAGAGCACAAGGGACCAAGCTGTCTCTGTACCGCAGCACCTACCTCAGCGTTGCAGCATATTCTCGCAAGGTGAGGCACGGGGAGACATCTCCCGAGAGCGCTTCCAGTCCTCTGCGTGCTTTATATGGTCCCCTGTGCAGAAACCAGGCTGTTGCCCCCCCAGCCATTCCAGCAGCTCTGAAATGCTCCAAGTGCAGCTCGGTGTGCTGGAAGTATACCTCCCCAAATCAAACCTGTAAACAAACAAACAAAACCCCAAAATAAAGCGAGCAAGCTGCCAGGCATAAAAACTCCTGAGAATCAGTTTCTGCCCCGGGATTTATCTTAAGTTTTGCTGGTTTATACAGAAGCCAAAATGTTTGCCATAAAGAGTGAGAAACAGAGCCTATCACCCAGATCTCTGGGGTACTCAAGGTGGTTTGCTCAGGAGTCTGCAAACATGAGCACAATAGCATTGCCAAAGGTGCAAACAGCTGCAGAGTTTTTTCACTTTAAAATTAAGGATTCATTAAACACACAAGAAAGCATTTTCATTGTTAATTATGATACTGGACACATCTATTCAATGCCTTATCTGGTGTGAATGGTCATGCAACACTTCCTGGCTTTACTCTTCTTAAAAAGGAAACAAGATGCAAAGTAACCAACCATTATATTCTCAAAGAGCTTGGCAAGCACTAGTGCATCTATTTCAGCTCATCCTGTGAGATAACAACCTGCCTGCAGCCCCGTTTTAGATAGGGGAAAACAAGGCAATTGCTAGCAACTGTCAGGTTCTGATACAGCCGCCCAGCCATCCAGAGCTCAGGTTGTAGTTGCATTCTTGGGTGAGTCCAGAAGTACCTTGATCATGCTGTACCCATAGAATCATGGAATAGTTTGGGTGGGAAGGGACCTCAAAGCCCCCCCAAGTGCCACCCCCTGCCATGGGCAGGGACACCTTCCATAGCCCAGGTTGCTCCCAGACTCATCCAGCCTGGCCTTGGACACTCCCAGGGATGGGGCATCCACAGCTTCTCTGGGCAACCTGTCCCAGTGCTCCCACCCTCTGTGGGAAGAATTCCTTCCTGATGTCCCATCTCCCTCTCGGCCCCCCCTGTCCCTTTCCCCCCCGCCCTTGGGGGAAAAAAAAAAAAAACCCAGCAAAAAACCCAGCTTCCTTGTAGCCCCCCCAGGCATCGGAAGGGGCTCTGAGGTCTCCCCGGAGCCTTCCCTTCTCCAGGCTGAACCCCCCAACTCTCCCAGCCTGTCCCCATGGCAGAGGGGCTCCAGCCCTCGGAGCATCTCCGGGGCCTCCTCTGGACTCGCTACCCCGGTCAATATCCTCCTTATGCTGAGGACTCCAGAGCTGGACACAGAACTGTAGGGAGCTCTGACGAGAGCAGATTGATCTATCTATTATCTACCTGCCTACCCACCCACCCATCTTCTTCCATAGTTCTCCATCAGCTGGACAGAAGCATCACTATCCTAAGAGGGACGAATGGGGTTAAGGAAGATACATTCACTACCATTGGTGATGGATGCAGAACTAATATCAAGGGTCACTGTAAGAGCTAAGACACGGCTGCTGTGGTATTTCTGAGCAGTGCTCTGCTCTATGTTCACTAGACACCCCTGCACATATGGCCTTTCCAGAGGAATGAAGAACTTGCTCCCATCCTCAAGCAATGGCACAACATGGTATTTAGCAGCTCTATTTTCCAATGTATTATCCGTAGCTGTTCAGCTGGTAGGAGCTGCTGGTCTCTCTTCTACAGGGAAAAATCCAACAGTAGTAGCTGTAAAAGTAGTGTCTATGTAATGTAAGCCACCATCCTGTGAGTACCCCTGTATTTTGGTAAGAGGAGTTTGCTTGATGTAGTTATTGGCACAGAAATGTTAGCAAGATGGGGGCAGATTAAGATACGGTGTGTCATGGGGGCAGATGCTATCAACCACAAAGGGCAGACCATGCAAAGGAAGTTAAAACACAGTTCACTGTCTGTTAGGTTTCGGACAGATTGTTGGGTTTTGTTAATAATCGTGTACCAAATTTGTGCTTGGTGTGAAAAATGAGCTAGAGAAAAAGGTGAGTTTCCAGGAGGAATCAGAGATCACACGTGCAGTGCTCAGCAAGACAATATGTGCTTGGAAATACTTGTTTTACAAATCTATTACTTATTAGCTCCCTTATAACTTGAGCTGTGAATGGGTCAACTGCCCCGTTAAACCATTTGCACGTGCCGCAGCTTAAAATACACCAGTGACATAGCTGTGATAGGGATCCCAATCACGCAGCTACCACAATACATTGCCTCAGGGTTCGCATCTGAACCCCGAATTCCACCTTTCACTTTCTCTGATGTAGTTATGAGAAATAACCAACACCAGAAATGACGCAGACACCTGCGAAATTACACAAATTGCTGGAAAGCTGCTACCCCTTGGTGGCATTCCCCTTCACTCCATCCCAAGCTGGGCACCTTCCTCCTTCCCACCCTCCTGCCCGCCAGCAGAGCCCATGGCTTCGTCTCGCGAGGGCTGCCCGTGCAGGCAGCTTGCCTGCACCTCCTGGCAGGAGGAAAGGTGCTCCGCGCCTCTCCTCAGTTATGCGTTTGCTTTGTGCTATACTTCCTGATCAGCTCTCTACGGGCTCCAGTGCAGAGCATCTCCCTCTCACTGCAAAGTGTGTCGGTCTTTGGACCGCCCACTCCAGTCCACCAAATACTTTTCTCCCATGCAAGGTTGAGCTCGGAGGATCTAGTTCTGTTAACCCGCTGCAATAAAGCTGGGGTTATTCCATGAACTGGCTGTGGCCGCCGGGCTGGGAAGCGCTCTCATCTTTCGGGAGCAGGATCCATTTTTTGCTGC